AAGGCTGGCAGTCATGCGCCACACGTGTCCATGGCAGACCGAAGCGGTCCAGCTCATCCGCCATCCTGATCGACCACGGTTAGGCCCTTGCGCGCGTCGGCAACGACTAGGTGGTCTTGTGACGTATGTCCTTTCGAATGGAGTCCAACAAATTCTGATCGGAGTCGTCCGAGTCGATGTACCACCGCGCTTCCTCAAAGGCCTCCGCGATCGCCTCTCGATCCGCGATGTCGAATCTGTTGGCCAGAAATTCTCTAGGCAGGTTCAACATAAACCAAGTCTCGTCCTGAGCGTTCCGACAGATGTCGCCACAGAGTTCAGAGGAGGGTCAGTCACAGTTTTCAGAACAATCTTCGATGTTCTTGGGCGCACCTGCTGATAATGGGAATCAGCAAACTACATAGACCTCAGATCGCGTCAGTGACGGGCTCCAACCCTATAGAACGAGTCTACGTTGATCCTCACCGCGGGTCTCAAATTCAGCCACCATTTGAAAGCTGACAGCTCATCTTCTCTAGTAGGGCGCACGGCTCGGCGTGAGACCTGGCGGGCGACTTGTCGCTCGCGAGTGCGCAAGTCTTGTCGCATGTCGGAGTGCGCTCGACGAAACGCGTGCACTGTCCCAAAAAGAAGTAGCAAGCTCAGATATGCGTGCTTCTTTCGATGCTGGACCTTTACTCACATAGCTCCACCAACCTTGGATGCGAAATTGGGAAAGTGTGCATGGTGAGCGCCAGTGAGTCCATATCGAACTTTCTGCCGGAGTTGTCACTCACTCGTCTCTGGCGCGATCCTGAAGCTGCCAAGCAGTCTCGAGGGTGTGTTCCCAGTACACTAAGGAATAGTCGCTGCCCGCGTCACGATGCTCGGCCTTGACGACTTCTCGCAACTGCGAGGGAGATGCAGGTAGAATCGCTCGAGCCAGCTGCAACAGATTCTTTGGCAATTGCTGGCATCGACGGAGGATGCAAACAAGAGCGTCACCAGGCTGACCCCACACAGTATTGACATCCTAGACTTACGATGGCAGATACCAAAGGCTTGCTGAAAGCGTCCGCGATGCTTGAGGCGAATACACATCGCTGAAGCCACGCTCTAGGCTCCAGTGAATCGTTGAAGGCTTCACGTTACGACCTTAGGTTGTGTCAGCTGCAGCTTTTTGCGGTCTTTGAGTGCAAAGCATGGTCACCTTTGCGACGTTTGCCTCTGTCTTCCTTGCTCTCCGTCGGTATCCAGTAGTATCCAGCGTCTAGCATAGGAAGCACGCCTTCGTCTTGTAGATAGTCGTACAATCTTGTCGCATCTTTCTGAGGGAACAGAGGTGGCATGGCGTAAGTCAGAATACCAAGCTGGCTGATCGAGGTACTTCGTACCTTGGCATGATTGACTGTGCTCTTCCTGAGCTTATCCAACGTGAAGTCCTTGTTCCAAATCACCTCTGGACCGTCGTGATAAGCTTCGGGATCTTCTCCGTATTGATCCTCTGCCCACATGTCTTCCGAAATCGAGTGGATGAAACCTTCCTTTTCCAATTCCCAAAGCGCAACATGACGTGCAAAGAGCTCGCATGACCTGTGCATTGCTCCTGTAAGCTTTGTGACAGAATTGCCCAAATGTACGACTGACGAAGCGGGACAGCTCACCCAAGGGAGCTCCGGTTGGCTGGTTCAGGCACCATCTGAGTGCGCGTGGTTACTTCGAAGGGGCGAAGTGCTGTTAATTCAACGCCGTCTCGTGTCGACCTTTCGAACCACTCGTTGGCCATCCAGGACACGGAGGAGCGCGCTGCTGCAAAAACCAATTCCAGCAACGGCTTTTGATTGACATTCGACGCCTCGTCCGTGGGCTGGCAAAGCTCAGCATTCACGTACGCAGGCAAGAAGCGTATTCCGAAGCCGCCACTCTTTTTGGTGTACCTGTGAGATTGCATTGTCAGACGAGTGATGATTGCTCTGATAGTCTCGCCCAACACCTACTTGAAAATTCTTTGATCTTGAGTAGCTTTGCGATCATTCAGAAAGTGACCTGCCGTCGACGGGAGAAGTAAGCGTCTGCGCTTTCAACGCATACCTCGGCATCATTCTCGCCTTGAATGAGATCCATCGAGAACACAGTGTAGCCAGTGACGATACTCCGCGCTGCCCTCGGAAGCATCCAGACCTCGCTCCCGTCGTACGCAACTGCAGCAGGATCGAGATCGAAGTTGAGCAGAGCCTCCATGGGGCTGCTGAGCAACTTGAGAATGATTTGGACCCGACGATGAGGGTACGTGGGTACAAGTGTGATCGTTTTGGAGTTACGAAGGACGCCGAATTTGGCGTCCGAGCTGTCGGCAGGACTGCTGGCGCCTCTGGATGGCAGATTTTGAGCGAAAACTTGCTCTATGTGCATCATTTTTGCGGTTGCTTGTTCAGCATTGAGGCCATAGATGTACAGATCAATGTCGGAACTCTTCGCTGCCTCTTCATCCGTCCCGATGTTCATCAAGGAAGCTAGAACGATGCCGCCGGCGACCAATACGTTGTCCCAATTCAGACCTCGAAGAGCGTCATTGGTAATGCGATCAAACGCTGAGCGGAATTCTTGGATGCCCCTGACGCGTACTTGCTCAGCTCTCTTGGCATCTAGAATCCGCATGCCCGGTAGCGATTCTGGGGCTGGTCGTTGGACATCGTGAATTCCATCGGCGTTCAAAGGGCCAAAAATTTGCGTGGCATGGGGCGCAGAGAGGCGGAACATGTACGACTGCCACCGTTTGCGTTGGTCTTCCCCATCATCCAAGTCGTGCGCCTCTTGCTGCGTCTCTTCTCCAGCTTCTTTGTGGAGATCGCGGTCTGATAGGGCGAGGAGAGCTCGCATATATCTCTCATTGCTCATGATCCTGTGTAGCGCAGCGAATCGCAGCAAGACAAGTCAGCCATCTTCGGCAGCGCAGTACTCCTGAGAGCCAGATCTGCGCTCTCACCACTCGTCCAAGTCTACATCCATTTTTCCAGAGGTGACGCCAAGGTCGAGCAGCACGGGAAATGGCAGACGAGTCCAGAACGCGGCAGCTCGACGCAGCACAACTGCATTCTCCTCTTTCAATTCTTCCAGAAGAGCGGCATCGCTCTGAGGTGAGCTGCCAAACCTATCGGCTAAAGATCGAGCAGCAGCGGCAAAGAGAGTCTCCCTTGCCGTGGCCTGCCCAGAGCCGGCGCCAGAAGCAGAGGGCAAGGCTTGCTCTTGAGAAGCGCCTGGTGCATCAGGACCTTGCAGGACGAGGATGCGATCCGCGCGACGTTTGGCGGTGTGCAGTGCGAGCTGGTATTGAGCTGCTTTGATGGCAGCTTTGCCAAGCTCAAGCCCGGTAGGCACTGTCCCTTTTGGGGCCGTCTGATTCTGATCTGCGCCTACCAGGGCGCGATTGACGACTGGATGAGAGAAATGAGAGAGTATGCGGAAAGAGCCATGATCGTGCTGCACTGGCTCTCCCACCTCGTTTGGATCAAGGTGAATACTAAGAGGAGCCAGGAACTCGGCAAGCGAGGCTACGTCCGCGTCCTGCTCGGGAGCTGACGGGTTGGTGAGGGAAGTCATCTCGGCGGCTGCGACGTGCATGCACGCACTGCGATGAATCGGAGCAAACACCAGTGGCAGAGCACTTGTGAGGCGTCACAGTGTGAGCAGGCAAGGTGTGCGGGGAAAGAGGATGGATGAGTGGATGCTGGGGTGACATATCCAGACTCGTGGCTACCCGCTTCCCAAGCATACGAAGCAAGCCAGCATTCAAGGTTCCCTCCCCACGTGTCCCACCTTTCATGCTCGCGCCGCATGGTGGCAGCTGCAGACAGAGAGCGCAGGCACGGCGCGAGTGCAAGAGCGCACAGTACATGCATCCTTGCATGCGCCCCTTCTCCGTCTCCGAACGGAGCCAGCCTGATACATGCGCACAATCTTGAAGCTGATCTCGAATCAGCATTCCAATCAAGCATCCGAATCAAATCAACATATGAATGGCGTAAAGCGGCGTACGTGATGCACACCCCTTTGACTGAAGACTCACGAGTCTTGTTCGGTCTTGACGTGAGTCACGAGTCAAGTCTTGAATCAGAGTCTCGAGGAATCACATTCAAATTCATATCCTTTTTATTGAGTCAAAGATACGAATCGATGATAATCGCGAATTAGACTCGAAGCCATAAAAGAAGGATAACGCTGCATGTGAATTATGAATCTGAATGGTGAATGGTGCTCCATCTCTCCGTGATCCAGTTTGAGTTTCGACAAGGATGTGGTCCACACAGACTCATCAGGACTCCTCTCCACGTGCGGTTGCTGCAGCGCTCGAGCTGGTCAGCGCATCCTTCCTGCGCTCACATTCACATTCACAACAGTCTGAGAGTCATGAGTTGTGCACCTGATGTGTACGCTGCCCGCACTCAAGACTCATCAGACTCAGACCCAGGAGACTCTTGACTCAAATTAAATTCAGAGTAACGGGTAAAATGCCTCACAATCCCGTGAAACGCGAGTCAAGCGTGCTCAAGCCGCGCCGTTCGTGTGTGTGTGACTCGCGTCCATTGTTGTCAAGTCACAGGTGAGCCAGTCGCACAGTCATCAGAGTAGCAGAACCACAAGTTCCGAAGCGACCTAGAGCCTCTAGCGCACTCACCACAGAGCAGGCAACAGGGCAACAACCGCTGTCTCGTCTTGAAGCGAGTATCGCAAAGTAAATCACATCCTGAGCCGGCATGTGTAACGCTGATTCATTTCGTTCCGCAATAGCAGCCTCGCCCTCATCCGCATGTTGGACGCCTCGAGCGCACAGTTTTGAATGTTAGAAGCGGTTTGGAGAACTTTTAGTCACGAGTCTGCTGCACCTGTGCCTGGCTCCCGTGCTGCTGCCACGCGGCGAGACCTCGCCTAGTGACGAATGGCTCTCCTGCTTGATTGCCAACAACCGAAATTTGAATGCGAATGCATGTCTCTCACGTTCGCACAGTCGTGAGTCAAGAGTGATGATCTTCACCGTTGTACTTGCTGCCTTGTGTTGCACAGCCTACTGAGAACGCACAGCCGAGCAAGGCAGCCTGCACCTCGGGCTTTCCGGCCCGGCCTTCATTTGCCCGAATCACACGTACCAACAGCGTCGCTGTGGTGTTTAGAACGCTGCCTCCGCAAGCATCTAGCGGCCCGCCATGAAGCATCAAGCGTCCCACCGCAGCGTCACGTCAGTCGAAAGTCGAGCTTGTAATCACGAATCGTGAAACGTGAATGTGAGCGGGACGCTGTCATGGTGCTGAGCTCTAGCGCTCGAAGCCTCACACAAAACTATCCTTACATTGGCCGAGCCGTCTCGCTCGAGTCGTCGTCGATCTCGTCTCGACAAGCACTGTCACTCTGCATTGCATCCACCCTTCTCACCAACGCAGACACACCATGACCGTCATCAAAGCTACACTGGCAGCTGCTCTTCTCATTCACAATCGTCTGGGCGGCCGGGCGCCACTGCACGGCACCTTGCCGGAGCGCTTGGTGGTCATTCTGCGATCCCGTAAGCTGGCCATCGCTCTGCTTTTCTATTTGATCGCTCAGATCAACACCTGGCTGGATAGAGTCTACCTGGGATACGGTAGAAGAGTCAAAGACGCCTACCACTGGCCTCAAGAGATCGCCGTTGTCACTGGTGGATCAGGCGGGTTGGGCCGCAGAATCGCTTCAGGCCTGGCAGCTAAAGGCACGCGCGTCGCTGTCCTCGACATCGCTGCGCCAGAGGACGGTGCCTGGCCATCGAGCCTCGCGTCACGCATTCAATACTATAAGACAGATCTCACAGATGCAAACGCCATCAAGACTGTAGCCGAGGAGATCCGCTCCGCCTGGGGCCATCCCACCATTTTGGTCAATAATGTGCGTATGATGTCGGTGATCTGCGCACTGTCCGTCGCTAGCTGACAGCCTCAATCCTTGATCAGGCCGGCGTCGCCAACGCAGGACAGTCGCTGCTTCATGCCGAACCGAGTCGAACCAAGCTGACGCTCGAGGTCAATCTGCTCGCCTCATTCTACACGATACACGAGTTCTTGCCTGACATGGTCAAGCACGATCACGGCCATGTGGTCAACGTAGCCTCCGCAGCGTCTTTCATAAGCGGTGTCAAAGCTGCCGATTATGCAGCGTCCAAGGCAGGTCTCCTTGCGCTGAACGAGACTCTAAGAATCGAGCTCCAGACAATCTTCAAGGCCCCTAGCGTATTGACGACGTGAGTCACGAGTCGAGCACAAGACAATGCCAGCGGACACACTAATGTGACGTGCTTTCCATGCGCTTTCCCCGCCATTGCAGCATCGTGCATCCGGGCTTTATCCGCACACCCATGACCAAGGAGCTCTTCAAGTCTCAGTCAGACTTCCTGGAAGCCGACGAAGTTGTGCATGCCGTCGTGTCGCAGGTGCACCAGCAACGCAGCGCCAACCTCTTCTTGCCCAATGCTGGCGTCCGCTTTGGCGCGACCTTCAGAGCATTTCCGACGTGGCTGCAGGATCACTTGCGACTCCAGATATCACGCGGGCTACTGAAAAGGTCTCGTCTCACAGTCACATGGCCACCCGACGAAGCCAAATGACCCAAGTGCGAGGTGCAACGCGAATCCCACATGTCCTAAGCCAAGGTCACCAAATGCCCGCCTTCCCTGTCGGTCGTTTCTGCTGACGTGTGCTTGACGATCCACATTTGTGAGCGTTGTCTTTCACTTTGAGTGTGAAGCAATTTGAGTCCCTCTGCGTCTGCTATTGTGACGAAGCTCTGGTGCTACATGGCATGAAATGCGTGGGTGTTTTGATGAGTGCATGTGACATCAGAAAGACCTATGATCGTGTGGACTTTTTGTAGGCGCTTGCAATTCTTGCACAAGCCTACTTGCGGAGCTTGCCCTTCACGCCCACAAGACCGACATCCTGAACGTTGAGGCCTGAAGCACGAGTGGACTGAGGGTCAGACATGACTGCGCCTAGCAAATGTGGAGCTGTGGATGCTTTCGTCAAGGCAGAGGCGTTGCTGCCATGCTGGCCCGCTGGGAAGGTTCAAAAGTCGATGTTCCCGCCTCCTTTCTCCTTCAATGCCCCACATCTCATCGCATGCACACGGCACTCACCAGGTGGCAAGCTTTGCTTGAGCTTGTCGGCCTTGGCTGCGTCATCGACCACGAGAGTATAGAGGTATCGGCTGCAACGAACCTTGAACTTGGTTTGGGTGGAGTTGCCCTTGAGCGTCTTCTTGACGCGAGCGGCTGTAAGTAGGCGGTCAAAGTCAGCTGGCGATCAATGCAGTCAATGAAGATGGATGACGACACCAGAGCACACTCACACTTGGCGTCCTTTCTCCTCGCAATTTCGAGGAATTGCTTGATGTCGGTCACTTGCTTAGGCTGTGGAAAACGAGGAAGAGCACGGCGTCAGTCTTGGATGTCCAATCGGCCACAGCGTTTCCAGCGACTGGCTAGAATGGGATTCCAAGTCTCCGACGCGCGGCTAGCCTGCCAGCCAGGCAGGCCGAGCCATATCAGCATGGCTTTGTCGTGGTCCATTGCAGCTGTAGCCCACTGCCAGAGCACGACTTCCCCCTGACAGACCACTTGCACCACCAAACGACTGCTCTTGTCCCCCTTCCAAGCCTTCTTCAAAGGAGACCTATGCCTTGTGTTGGCTTCGCCGTCTTGTGCGGTCGCCATGAATAGCCCAACGCGCATGGTCGCTGTCCTCAATGCTGTTGCTCAAGCAATCGCGCGCTTCAAACCAACACCTCGCGCGGTGCACGCAAAGTCTACCAGTGGGCAGGAAGGCTAGAGTTGATACTAACCATGTTGGGCGAAGTCCGAGGGTGAAATGTTGTGGTGGTGGTCAAAGGCCGTGGTGCAGATCGTGCTGCCGAAGACCTTCAATGTCTACCACTCGAGCCCGCTGTGTGGGCGAAGATCGCGCACGCCTGGACGAAGATCATGGCCACGTGGCCCACGCCGCGCGAAAGCGCGCCCGCACGCGCGCGCCAGAGGTGGAAAAGACGGTTCTCGCGCGAGAAAATGCTGCTGCGGAAACTGGCGCGCGCTGGTGCGGGCGGGCGGGCGCGGCAAGCCGCTGAACACTTGATGACCACTTGCATCTCAGCGCCGCACGCTTCAACATAACCACAACTTTACCACACATCTCCTGTTGACCCCTCAAGAAGTGAGTTTACCGGCTCAGCAGCGATTCAGGCTTCAGCGTTCTCCAACAGCAATAGGCAGTCAAGGGCGCCCGAAATGCCTCCTATTGCGAGCTTCGTTCGGCGCCTCGCACCCCTGTAGCAGTCTTTTTGCGCTTCGCGCGGCGAAGGGGTCATGAAAATACGTTGTGGGAAGCAGATTTGCGGATGGCAATCAGAAACTGCCACGATGGCCAACTCTCGAATAGCTTCGAAATATAGGAGCAGCTGTTGAGTTATTTCCGGGCGGGAAGGAGGATTCGCAAGATCTGTTGAAAAACAAGGTCGAGCGGTGAAGGAAAGATGGGTATCGGTGTCACGCACGCTGCGTTCGGCGGGGGACAATACGAAGGGTGCATTGAGCTTCAGGCTTGACAGTGCGCCAGGCGATCCTGGCGCGGCGTGTTGGACTCAGGCGAGACTTCAGGAATTCTGGGGGAAGCGCTTGTTCAGCAGCACATCGTCTTCGGAAGCCGCCTACTGACCACCCCTCTCTTCACTCTTGCCTTGCCTGTCTGTCTCGGGCTTATAGAACTTTGCCCATCATGAAGGTCGAAACCTGCGCCTTCTCTCAGCGCAAGATCTACCCCGGTCGCGGAAAGCTATACGTTCGCGGCGACTCTAAGGTGAGTCTGGGAGCGGCCAACAAGACAGGGAGAGCAGATGGCAGCAGAGGAAGGGGGTGATCAGATCGCTATGCAGTCGGACAAGTGGAGTCACAGCATTCCGCCAAGACAAGCTAAAGTGCTGCCGGCCCAAGCGGGGGCTATGTTGGGAAACCTGCTTATGCCCGACGGATACGGGTTGCTGGAATTATTTATGCTGACATGCATGCCTTGTTCGCCATATCGCTATCCGCTATCTCCAAAGGTCTTCCGCTTCGTCTCCTCAAAGTCGGAGTCTCTGTTCCTGCAGCGCAAGAACCCTCGTAAGATTGCGTGGACTGTGGTCTACCGTCGCATGCACAAGAAGGGTATCACTGAGGAGGTTGCCAAGAAGCGTAGCCGTCGCACTGTCAAGCACCAACGTGGTGTTGTCGGTGCCTCTCTCGACGCCATCGCTGCCAAGAGGAACCAAAAGCCCGAAGTTCGTCAGGCTCAGCAGGCCGCCGCCCTTGCCAAGAGCAAGGACGACAAGAAGAAGAGGCAAGAGGAGCGCAAGGCTAACAGAGGCAAGGTGGGTAAATGTTACAGAGGACTGATTCCGTTGGAGGAGTAAAGGCTTGGGTGGCGTTGCGTCGATCGTGACACGGGGACATTGTAGCCGTGGGGTGCTGATCAAGCTATCCTTTCACCATGACCATCAGGGAGCTGTCGCACACGCGGGTGCAGGTCCCAAGATCTCCCGTCAGCAAGCAAAGGGGGCAGCAAGCAAGCCCCGTGTCTAAGCAACACATCGCCTGTAGATCGTGGCTTCAAGCCACCCTCACGTCGTCGATGCGATTCTTGACTCGGTTTGTCCCCTCACTGTACTTCGTTACTATGCCCCACGAACTCGTCCCCTTCAGGACGGCGACGTCAAGCTGATCATGCATGCCACGTAGAATCCATTTGCGTGCGATTTGCGAGCCGCTGGTCTCTTGACAAAGCTCTGGCGCGTTTGGATTCATAGCACAGTCAAACGCCACGATTCGATAACAGCGACAGTACGGAATTCGATTACGGGGTCGGCATGGGTATAATTAAATGAATGAGTTGTGAATAATGATCGATGCTCCTATCGCTCAACCTCGGCACGTTTGTTCGTTGCTGCAAGACTCTCGACGTTGAGGACGTGTAAGACTCAGCCGATGCGGGTCTTCGGCGGCAAAGGTGGAGGCGCAGAGGAGCTGGTGTTACCAGCAGAGACAGCTCTAGGAGTTTCGGGCTCATCATCGTCGTCCCAATGTTGAGCATACCTGGGAGAGTAGATGGACGATGTTGGTGGACTAGAGACACCCGTTGTGGGTGCTTGCGCGCCAGATGAGGGTGGTGTTGGCACACCAGCTCTCAACTCCAGCGGGGATAGACTGCCAAAGTCGATTTTGGGCAGAGTCGTGTTGAGTTGCGAGAGACCATCAAATCCGTTCGAAAACGGCGGCGGATGAGGTCCTGATGCGAGCTGAGCGTGCAGCCCCGATTGCTGCTGCTGCTGCTGCTGCTCGATTCGCGGACTCAGGCTCCGTTGCTTGCCGGCAGATATGGACGGGTCGTGATGAGGCAAGTCTGAAAAGGAGGTCAAGCTGGTCGCGTCGCTTGCCAAACGGTCATGTCCTGGGCTAGAGACAATTTGAGCTGAACTCGTTCGAGCGCTTGGAAGCCTCTGAGGAGTGATGGATCCATATGAGTGCGTGCCCAACTCCAGCGCCGCCACTGGCGCAGCTTGGGCGTGGTTGGCAAAGCTGGGGGCCATATTTGCGTTACCGACCGCCTTTGCGGGCGCTGTATTCGGAACAGTGTCAGGCAGCGGTCTGTAATTGGCCATTGACATGGGTCTCTGTCCACCTGAGCTACCACTTGTCTGAGGGACCGATGTGACTCCAGCTGATGCGCCGCTTGCGCCGATCATGGGCGCAGCACTCGCTATTGGATTCGAAGCCGAATGCGAGACCATGCTGAAAGGCCTAGTCTGCTGAGCGCTACTGCCAGACGAAGAGTAAACAGGTTGAGCTGCGGTTTCTCCCGGTCTAGTGAATCCAGGGGCATAGCTAGCAGCCGGTCTGGTCAATGCTGGACCTGCTGAAGACGTCGAGTACTGAGCTTGGCCGGGCTGCGCGCTCGAAGTAGCCGCAACGCTTGATGCAGCTTGACCAGAGGGAGATGAGTACGAGGGCACAATGCTGAGGGATGCGCCAGCAGCTGCGGCTTCATTCTCCGCCTGGAGCTGAGCGTCTCTCGCAGCGTAATACAGCTTCATTTGTTCTTTCTCGCTGACAGCTCCGGCACCAGGATTTGGCTGACTCGGAGCTGAAGGGGGAGGTGCGCGGGATCCGTTTGAGGTGGCTTGAGAAGATGATGGGGCCACGACGTAGGAAGACCTCTGCGCATTGTTGTTCAGCGCTGGAGGGGTGCTAAGAGGTGAGACCCCAGCCGAATGGGGAAATGCATTGGCGTGCAAGGTCTGTCGATTGTTGACATAGTTGCTCGCAGCGCTCGAGGTGCTCAGAGTGCTCGCAGACGGCAACTGCGTCTCCGAAGCTGTGGCTTGATGATAAGTAGGCACTGGTGCAGTCTCGTATGGCTGATAGGGCTGTGCCTTGTCTCCATCGCCCGGATTAGACAAGCTGAAGTGCGGATTAGGAACGTGCGTTGGCGCTGACTGGGTGCCAGCTACACCACTCGATTGAGCAGGGCCAAGTGCTGTGGCGTGCTGACCTCTGGCAACTGCATCTTGTGCCTCGTAGTACAGCCTGAGCTGGGCTTTCTCGTCGCGCGGGGCTGCAGCAGGCGCACGAGCACTTGATAGATCATCTGTAGGCGCGGAGAGGCCACTTCGGGCGCTTGAAGCACCTCCTTGGGCCAACATCTCGCTCCTAACTTTCGCATCGGCTTCAGCGGCCGCTTGCTCAGCTTTTGCTCGTTCGTACAATCTTCGCTTCTCTTCTTCGGCACTCAAGTAACTTGGCATGGGCGCTTTAGGCCCCGAATTGCTGATGGAGCTGGCTGCGGCCGGTGTGTCAAGACTGGTAGCGCCAAGGGCAGGCGGAGAATGAGACGCCATCCTGGCTTCTGCCTCCGCTGCGGCTTGTTGAGCTTTTGCGGTCTCGTAGAGTCTTCCCTTTTCCTCCTCGGCTGTCAACCATGACCCGGGTGGTTTTGGGGTAGCTGCGGATGCGGCCCGAGCTCTCTCGGCAGAAGCCGAAATGTTTGCCCTCGAAGCGGTCGCGGCTGAAGTGGCAGCGTTCTCACCCATCCAGTACGCAGCGCTACTCCTGCGACGATCCTCGTCGTCGTTGGCCATCGATCCGGGCTGAAGTCGTGAGGGTGTATTGGTCCCGCTCGCCGTCGGTGCTGCGTGCGAGAGCGAGGCTGACGAGCCCTGCGCGAAGCCGTTTTTGTAGCCCTCCAAAGCTTCTTTTGGAAAGGTAGCACCCTGCTCAAAACCACTCTGATACCTCTCTGCCTCCTTTCTTGCACGTTCGTACAGCCTAGCCTTCTCATTCGCTGCATTGTTGTATGCTGTACTTCCAGGCACGGGCGCGGACACATTTCTCGACGTCTGAGCTGCCGCTAGGTTAGCTGCCGACAACGCTGCGATGGCCCCTGCGCTCTGCGACGAGGTCACGACAGTAGCTGAGGAAGCAGCGTCGTTTACATTATTGTTGGAACTCTGACTGAGTACAGCTGCTTGTTTCTTCCTCTTTTCGTCAGCCCTGCGCTGATTGCGCTCCGCTTGTTCCCTAGCCCGTTGATACAGCCGCATCTTCTCTTGCTCGGCAGTGTCGGAAGGAGCCTCACTGACCGCGCTCGCACCGGCTGACTGAGGTCTACGGATCATGGACTGTCTAGAGGCGTTGGCACTAGCATAGCGCAAGAGCTGAGCTTGTTGCGCGGCAAGTGCAGCACCCGCGGCTCCGGGGGCTGGCGAGCCGGTGGGAGACGCGTGCGGATTGGGAGTGGTGCTTTCAGAGATGGCCTCGAAAGGTGAGCGTTGCAGGTTGAAGCGACTCTGATTGCCTGACCCAGCCGCATAGACCCCAGGCCCAGATAAAGCTTCAGAGCTGACGCCCAAACGAGCTGCGTTCTCCGACATGTTGGCAGAGTGAAACATCGCTCGACTTTCCTCCGCATTGAGCTCAGGCCGTTCGTAAATGCTGGGTGGGCCTGCAAACTTCGGGCGGATGGGACCAGGCCCGTCATGGCTATAGGCCTGTGCTGCTCCCATGTCTCCCCAGCTGAAGAGCTGGCCCGGTACACCGCGTCCTGCCATGCCGGGTCCGGAGATTGCTGTCCCTTGTGTCATGACAGTGTCCCTCCTGCGCAGATCCGAGCCGACGCCGTATCGGCCAATGCCTCCCCCTCCTCCACCACCATCCGTCCCCGCGCCGCTGCTGCCGTACGACTGCGATCGCTGGACTGCAGGTGGTCGTGAGCTCAAAGAATGGCCGGTGTGACCAATTGCGGATTGGCGATCGCTGATGACGGTAGAGTAAGCGTCGTCGGTGTAGTTGTTTCTACTCAAGCCTTGCACAAAGCCTATTCGATTGCATACGTCTCTGCTCTGCGCGCTAGGAAACGTGGTGATCGTGAGAGGCAGATGATCGATGATGATTGGAGCCTTGCTGACGTCGACGTAGATGCGCATGGTGTAGCTGACCTCGATATGCTTGGCGGTCTGGATCGTCATCAGACTGTGACTCTTTGGAATCTGGCAGGTGAGGATGAACTCTTGCTCTTCGTCCTTGTACATCTTCTTTCCGTACGTCTTTGACTTTTGAGCGAGCGTCTCTGTCCGTTGCGAAGCGGCCGCACCTCCACCGCCAAAGCTACTCAGTCGATTCGTCTTGCTGCCACCGCCTCGAAAGGTGATGGTCTCACGCACGCTGAAGGCCACGCTCTTCAGCTTGACGGGAGCCACCTTCGTAGAGTATACAAACACCTTGATCGTGACCGTGTCACCAGGACCATAGCAGGTCTGCGTCCGCTCCACTCGAGCTTTCACTCCATCATTCTCTGCCCAACGCCAAGACGTGGTCAGCGCACGTGCAGACCCACTTTGCGCATCTCGCAAATTCCTCACTCACCATCCGAGTGCTCGTCAGAGATGTGGTAGATGGGCCACGTGGAATGCAGCTCGTGCTTCTCCAGAGCGATTGGGTGCGTGCTCTGGACGATTGAGCTCGTCGGGCTGCTTCTCAAGAGGCCCTTCTTGCCCTTGACGCAGAGACTGGTGACGAGCTCGTAAGAGATGCCACACTGCTTATCTAGCTTGGCAGTAGGTGGAAGCCCTTCCGGGATGGGTATTCGGAACGGAAAGTCTGCCTGTCCGCCGCGCTCAAGTGTGAGCGATGTGGAGAGGGCAAGACCCGATATCTCTTTACTCTACTCGATTGTACTACTCACCGTCTGCAACGTCTCCCAGCTCCCTTCCGCATCTTCCTCCCTATCGCCAGCACCAGGACCAGGCCGCGCACTCCACACGCTGTGCAATAATGCATGCATCGTGTGAGCTTGCCCCTGGCAGCTCGACCAATCTGGCACTCACACCGTGGGACCTCTTCCAACAACCTCTCCCCACGTCTCACCACCAGCAACGCTCTCCAGCTTTCTCAACTCGATCCTCAAAAAGCTTGCTTTCGCGCCCCTTGATCCCAGGCGTACTTCGATGTTTCCAGTGATGTGAGCAGAGGTCCTCGATGCGTCGCCTGGAATTCCGGGAAACCCGGCTATGAAGTCGAGATGAGGCAAAGGGCGAATGGTGCTGAGGGAGCGAGAGGGGCAAATGGCACTTCGAGCGTGAGCTATTTCGCACGTCACGTCTGCCTACATCGACTGTGTGATCGACACTCACAGCTTGGTTGTGGACGTCATGGCAGGCTAGCTGTATCACGAGTCGGCGATTACACTATACGGAAACGCGACCCGAGCCCGGGTGGTTGCACCCAGCGCCTTGGAGGACGTGCGCGATCACTGTGACTTTATTCGCCGACGACGGCCTGCTGAGCTCGCAGCTAGGCTGCGCTATCGATGGGTGTTGAGTGAGCTGAAGGGCTGGTGGAGACGAAGCAGGAGATGAGGCGTGCTGGTTCGCGAGATTGAGGACTTGTCGGTGGTAATGGATTCTGTGTGAGCGAGAGGAAAGAGCAGCAATTTGCGTTTGACGGGCGACTGGTTTGTAGAAGTGTCGATGCCAAGATGCGTGGTGAAGGGGTGTGCTGACAAGGTCGAATGAGCGCTCTACCCCATGCAGCAGCAGAAGATAGGATGAACGCAGCGAGAAGCAGAGCTCGCGGATGGAT